ATAACCCCCTTAATCGTTGAGTAACTTGAGTCAACACCGCCGAATTTTATTCATGCACATCGCAAACCAGAGCTTTGCTATCTCGGTGAGCTATGCCCGGTCAAGGGACATGAACGCTTCACGTTTTTCGTATGACACGGTGTTTGACTGTTATTGCTGAAAAGATAACTACGGGTAGATCGCAAGACTGCAACGAGAGGGCATACCTTTGGTCGAACTTCCAAAGAAGAATGTAAATCTTCCTCCTAAATTCGTTTATCTGGCCGGATGATTCCTGCCTTGTAGTGTAACTCAACACATACGAACACATCGTACGGTGAGGAAACAAACCATTGTGAGGAGCATTAGTAAACCAAACAAACACTTCCAAAGAACAAATTATATAAACATCTCCATCCGTCAATTCTTGAAACTTTCATCACGTGACGATTTTCTCGTGCATATGAGTATTAAAGAAAATCGGCCCTTGGTTCGAACCTACACCTCGGGTTCACCAGGTCCTCCATTTGTGCGAAGTCTGCAAATTGGTACCAGACGCACCTGAAGGATAGTCCCCCTGGCTTGATACAACAGCAGGCCACGGTAAATCATTGCAAAGGACAAATATGCACTCAGCCACCTCTAACGATGCTTGATGAAGTCGAATTCATCGTGCATCTCTTGAAGATTGATCAACGTAGAACGTTTTATCCTGTTACGTTTCATGAATATTGAAAGGTTTCTGAGTGAGACAACACAAAGCCCATATCAGTAAATAGGGCTTTCATTATAGTACGGCAAATCTTGACAGCCCGGCCAAGTTTTCTTTTGCCTTTTTGATAAGTGGCTTCCTTCTGAGATATCAAGGAACTTTATTCAACGACAAATGACATGCAAAATTCTGGGATAACCTGACCTGATGCATGACAATATTACACAAAAGTTTCCTTGCACCTTTATAATAAATCCGTGAATAGTACTCCTTTCGGTAAAGACGGAATCTCATTTTTATTGTTTGAGAAGGAATGACTGGAGAAAAATGTCTTGAAAAAAGCAACAGCAATACAAGTACTGTAGATGTTTCCACTAATCACTGAGATTTATGGATAACGTAAAACCGTGGTTCTCTCATAAGAAAAAGGCAGCTCCATTAATTTATGACAGGAAGCTGGTCCGATGAAAAACTGATGAACCAGTAATAGTGTAATTAGTGGACTTAAGCATTACTTATGCTGTTGCTGCAAAATTATTTCCTAAATGAGGGGGTCACAACGTTACTGATAATGTTCATGTTTAATATATATTTAGCAGAAAGAATCTTCCTAATAGGAGTCTAGAAACTCTACTGCACCTACTGCCACACGTTTTTCCGATTATCGAAAAGTGGTTCAGGATTGGGAGTCGCTAAAGTCTCCAATTGTCGCTGTCGCGTGAATAAGTAAGTCCGATAGTTCTGTTCACTACGATACATATTTCTTCTCGGATCTTCGCAAAGAATTCTGAACATCGAATTGGTGCACTTTCTGTCGCATTCCTGGCAGCCCAAGGAGACCAGATCTAATGGTTCATATCTACTAGTTAACATTAACAGGCAACACGAACCCAGTCCATAGATAAACTTCATTTTGGCTCATTGAACGCGTTCTTTGATCCTCTTTACGTAAATTGCAGGTTTCTGATATGTTTACTTAGAAAGGATGATAGAGAGAAAAGGTGAACAAGCAATCGGACTTTTTAAAAATGTTATCTTCATTATATCATCGATGCTTTTCAGACCTCTCCAAGCCGCTCGTTTTCTCCTGCTCAACTACGGAGTAGATCGTTCACCATGTTAACTTTTCGGCCGAGATAAACACAGCTTAAACAAACCCCGTTCGTCTCATCTTCCTAGGACGCGATAGGAAGAACAGCCTTTCCACAAATGTTGAAATCAGCCAGCATTCATTTCAATTGGTTAATTCATAATACAGCGATGTCATCAATAGAGTGAAAATAACTCAGCGGACATTCACCGAATTGCAAAATCATATTATTCCATTCTAGTTCTTTCCTGACATCCTGGAGCGCAGCTGTAAATAAATTAGGCTATGTTTCACCTTGACTATTCTCGGACACTACAACAATGTCAATGTCGTTGTAGATGTCAATGTCAAAAAATAGAAATACGATCCTAGTTACGAAGTCTCCCTAGTATATGAAGCTCCCGAAATACCTCTATGCATTTTGCCCAAACTGTTCAGGACTTCCCCCACGGTTTTCTCATCTCAGTGAAAACCATTTTTTCAACCGATAAAAGTAAGAGAAAGTGCTTCTTGGTACTTTCGCGACACTTCAGTGAGTTTCGTTGCCATGTCCTAGTGCATATTGTACTGAACCTGTTCGAACCACTGCTTGCTCACATCACTCCCTTCTAATGTTCTAAAAGGCTCGTGTGGCGCAGTGGTCGGAGGCGCCCTGCAACACACACCTATGGCCTACCAAGCCATCCATCCCATCGAGGTCGGCAAATTGGTGCCATACTTCTTTGCAGGAATAGCAACACTGGCTCGACACATCAATCGGCCACCGAAAGTCATTGTAACGGCCAGGTATGCATTCAGTCACCTCCAACGATACTTAAAGAAGTCGAAAGCATGGCGCATCCCTTGGGGATTGATCAATACCGACAGCTTTGTCCTTTTTATCCTTTTTAATGCTCTCTAAATCTTCTTGAGTATGAACAAAACGGGTGTTGTATGAATTTTCACTTCCGAGATGCCACACCTGACTTGGAAGGAAGCAAAAGTACAACATATCTACCACCTTTAATTTCACATGAACACTTTGGCTGTTGAAGAAACTGGAGTAGAAGTCAAGGACAATTCTCCACGTTGCACCACTGGAAGTAGTCACTATTTCCTCTGGACGAAGGAATGCGATCATTTGGGTCTTGTAATTGGCTGTCGACAACGGTCCCTAGAAACGTGCCAGTGATCTGAACGAATCCCAATAACAATAGCTCTTGGATTTCTACTATTCAATTCCGTGGATTTTCGTCAATTCTACGGTGAAAACAATTTTGAGAAAAAGGCGTTGCGCGATGTTGTGCAGAATCTTGAATTGGATAATAAAAAGGATAAAGCTCTCGGTGTTGATCAATCCCTGAGGAATGCGCCATGCATTCGACTTCATTAAATATCGTTGGAGGTGATTGAATGCATATCTGGCCTTTACAATGATTCGCGGTGGCCTACCGATGTATCGACCCAGTGCTGCTATCCTCCCAGAAAAGTCTGCTACCAATCTGCCGACCCTGGAGCGATGGAAGGCTTGGTGAGCCATGGGCGCGGGGATCAATTCCACGTTCATGTCACACTGGCGCCTCCAACCACCGTGCCACACGCGCCCTTGAAATGGAAACATTGGTTATGCAAAATTTCTGATTTGCTACTGTCTGTTTCATTATGATGTTTCCCATTAGAAGACTCCCTCGTCCAGAATTGAGAGTTGACTCTGGAACTGTGAGTTACCACAAATTTCCCGTGGTACACTTAGACAGCGGCTCGTCCTGTTCGTTCTATTCTAATCCGCGGCTCTAAAGCGTCTTTCTTCAGATTTCTTCTAAAACCAACCTTTGCGTTGGAATCGCCAATGATGACCTTTGACAAGGTATGGTCTTCAACATATAACTTCTTCAAATTCATACGTAACGCTTAAACGTCACCTTTGCTACAGCTTGATGTTGAGGTATAGACAAAGACGATTGTCAGAGCCGGCATTGGTCAACATCTCTTCAACCATAAACGCCCGATTTAATTTTTTAGTGGTTTAAATGAGCCAATGTTCATGGTCAAAACCCTGTTGAGAAAATTCTCTTGTTGCATGTTCCGAAGACCATCGCGTCCCTCGTATCACGGAGCGCATTAAATGGGCGGCGACTTCTGTGCTCGACCAGTTGGCTGAAGTCGTACCTAATTTCCAGCTTATATCAACAGATTCTCAATGGAGGTTTCAGAAGCAAATGAGCGTACATTATAGGTACATGTACACGACGTCATTCCAGTCGTTCCAAATCTAGGCAGTCTAAAACGCCTCTGAGGCTTTAGCAGCTTCCGTACTGGATCTGCTCGACGCTGCATCACTAGAAGCTCTTTCGGCGTTAGACGAATCTTACTGCGTTTAGCATCTAATAGCCACGAATGGCCTGCCGACTAAGCTATCGCCATTGACGCAGGGTATAAACATGGTAGCTTGCCAGTCCCTCTCAGGGTACACATGGAGCTCATTAGTAGGAAGCCACCACGATGTACTTCACAGTCACTTCATTGAAAAATTCTGGTCTAATACACCTGTTGGATACAATCTGCATGCATTTAAATGTCCATGTACGAATGAATGAATATTTCTACGCAAATACTGGACGCACATGTTAACTCACTGCATCAGAAACAGGTACCCCATGCCTTAGATCTGATTACGTCCGCGTTCCAGAAAAGCAGAACGTCGCTTTGGTTAGCACTATAACCCTCTATCCGCCACTTAAGAACTGGCCTTATACCCAAGCGACAAAACGGTTTGAGACCTCTCACTAAGGATATCCTTGAAAACACTGCTTCATTTTGAGAAAGAATGGAGGAAAAAACTATTAAAAAAAATACCACTGTCCTAGAAAATGCGTTTTCAAGCTTTCCTGCTCAGAAGCCCACACTGTATCCAAATGGTACAGAATGATCTGAGTCTAAAAGTGACAAGTCTCATTTGCAATCTGCAAAATAAAACTTCGAATTTTATTTAACATTGCATCATAAGTGCGGTATCCACATCACCGTCATACCCACACACGCATGTTTAGGAAACGTGAGAAAACTCGATTGTCATATAACAGAAAGTATAGTGACATGATCACGATATTAACAACGATAAATCGGGCAACGGGAATAATTACATAAGATAAAAACATAGATAAATGGCAGACTATCGTTGCAAATAACACTGCAAACAACTGCAAATAACAGCGTCACCGACTTGGCCCAACTGTTGAGTTATCCCTTTCTCAGCTTAGTTAACGCCAGTTGCTCTTGTACCTCCATTAAAAGTGGCTCAACACGCAGCGTATGAAGACGATCAAGCCGTTTCGAATGCAGAGCGCAAGCCTTGAAATTGAATACGTTGAATATTCTCCAATAAACCCTATTCCCATTAAAGCCAAGCAGATTTCTTGAGGAAACGGTCAAGCGATTTAAATTGTGTCAACATGAGAATGCAGCCACAAGACGCTCGGGCTCGTCCTCATATAGGTTTGCCCTTAACTTAGCTTTCGCGTAGACATATTGAATTCCTTCTCTGCCCAAAACTGTTGACTGCCGAGAAATAAGGGATGACCCTTCTTGTGTACATGATATTCAATACAAAAGACATCCCCCAGCTACTACAGGAGGGGATAAATGAATGAGTGATGCCAACAGCCTATTAACAAAAAGTTCATGCAAACGATTCCTAGACCCCTAAATTTCTCAGGTCAATAATAAGACTAAAAAGGATAAAGCCTTCGCCATTGATCTATCCCTGAGGGATGCGCCATGCATTCGACTTCATTAAGCAACGTTCGAAGGTGACTGAATACATATTTGGCTTTGCATTGACTCGCGGTGGCCTATCGATGTATCGAGTCAGTGTTGCTATCCTCCCAGACAAGTCTGTTACGAATTTGCCGACGCCGAAGTGATGGAAGGCTTAGTGAACCTTGCACGCCGCGAACCATCACATGTGTATTAGAGGGCGCCTACGATCACTGCTGTACACGCGCCCCTCACTATTAGATTATGAGAGCTCGTATAAATGTTCAACACATGTGATCATGTCCGCATTTGTGCGGCTATCATCTGGGACTACACCTGTTTTTTTAACGGCACGCGATATGCGCTGAAAAATTCGTCCGGGGCTGTCTTGAAAACTACTTAGTGTAAAGAATAACTTTTCATACATAGCAACTGACACACCTGTGTTGAACAAGTTGTTCATTGAATAAAAGAAGAAAAAAAAGCATCGAAGCAAAACAAGTCGTAGGAAATAACATGCAGTGAAACCAATGCATACGAGGGACTTCGCTAACACGTGTATGCATTACTATATATGTATGCCATTTCTCATGCAGTAAAGGTTCAGTTGTTAGATAAGACAACTGGAAAAAAAGACCACCAACCTGAAGCGCCAAAAACTTGGTTGCAAATGTGACAACAGCAGAGTCACTTTCAAGAGAAACTGCGGTAACTTTGAGACCACGAAACAATTGGGCAATGCCAAACTCGTTAAGTGAAGATGGAAAACCCGATACCAAAACTGCCGATTCATTGCGATGAACTGTAAAAATATGAGGTATGATCTGCGAGTCAGATGCAAGTGAGGAGATAAAATTCTGTGAATCAGTGAATATCTAATTCTGTGTGGAATATATGATAATAATACCCTCCCAACGGTTCACCGCCTCATCGTTGCTGGAAGGTGTTCCTGGGTAACGGACTGCGATGTAGAACAGTGGAATTCCTCCCACCAGCAGGGCCTCCCAAGCCGAGGAGTACAGCGTTTCCATCGAGAAGATCACCCAAGAGTAAACCAATACCAGGATCCACCACCGTCCTGGGTTCAAACAAGTCGCATGATTGCAATTCGCCCCCTGATACACAAGAGCGGCGATCGCATGTGGCGGTGACGACCTGGGGTAGACTTTGGGGATATGCTGACTTTGGGACTGCAGGGAATCACAACGGATAGAGTAATAAGACTCCGGAAAAATGGAAGTGATGGTTTGGCCCGCAGAACCATTGAAGACGAGCCATTCAAGTATCCAAGTATACGTGATCGCATCATAGGCGACAACAACAAGATTAAAACTCATCAATATTTCTTGTCGTTCTTAAAATTTGAACCTGAATAGTGAAATATTAGCAGTATTAATACAAACCAACTTACGAAGTGGTGGATTCTGCTGCCCAGCTAGTACGGTGCGAACCACTGTCTGTATTGTATCCTGGTCAATCTTCATATTAGTAGGCACATCACTGCCCGAACCAACACGAAGGTCATATGGTTTAAACGACCTAAAAGCCGATATTTGGTAGAAACGGTGCCGAAACTGAACATACAAGAAAGAGCGTCTTACGGATTCTTCTCGAGACAGATCTTGTTTGTAGCACGTGCAATCCACTGCGCAACGTTTCTAAAACGACGTATTTGTAAGAATATTTATATTAGAACCACCGAAGAACACATCGCTTAACGAAATCTTTTTCAACAAACTACAGCAAAAGGATAAATAAATAAAGAATAAACAGCGCTGATCAATCCCTGAAAGATGCGCCATGCATTCAACTTCATCAAGCATCGTTGGAGGTGATTGAATGGATATATGGCCTTTACAATGACTCGCGGTGGCCTGCCGATGTATCGAATCAGTGCTGATATCCTCCCAGACAAGTTTGATACTAATTTTTCGACCCCAGAAGGACAGAAGGCTTGGTGAGCCTGAGGTGCCTGATCGATGCCATGTATTGCAGAGCGCGTGCCCCACTGCGCTACACGCGTCCTACACGAATATAAAAATAATACCAGATATGTTTTACCTTTTATTTTCTGTACAATTTTTACGACAGGGTACTAAGCGAAGTACAACCACAACGTTGCTGAGATATTTGCAAAACTCTGGACCGCAGGTGTCTATGGTGGGGAACGAACGTGCTATTATCCTTTCCGAGGAGTAACGCTTTCACCATCACACCATGCGGGTCCTTCGTTTCGCCTGTCTCTCAGCTATTTCTATCGATCTTTTTGCCACAGCAATCACCCGTCAACGGGATTGATCTGAGGAGCCCACATCAGCATTTGACCCAGTTAAGCTGAGGCTGTAGTTGAAATCACAAAAAGGACAATAGCGCGTTCGTTCTCCACCATAGACACTTGCGGTCCAGAGTTTTGCAAATATCTCTTAATAACAGATAATTCGTTTTTTTCTTAGAACTGCTCACTTTATAACAGTATATCAACCGACCTATATACAGTATAAGGATCGTTGGCGTTCTTGGTAACGGCCGCAAATCTATCAAGAGCATTATCGAGCAGTACACCCTGTCTGATGAAGCCATGAACCGAGGAAAGTGTACGCATCCAACCGTGTTCGGGGGAATCTTTCTTCGGCAGAATGTGTAGAACTAACATCACAGCGGGAAACTTCTAAACTACGTATTTCACGATATTCTCAACCACTAACTGTGAAAAATTGTTCATGGGCAACATGCAAAATCGTACTACTGAATGGGATCGGTTATTGATGCCAGTTGACGTATGAGCTCGAATTTTCACAAACAAATATACCAGCAACTGGTAGGATCCAAAGGGATGGAGGGCACTGCAGGTTTGAAACCGACGATTGCAAAAGCTAAAAAGATAAAGATCTCCGAGCTGACCAACCCCTGAGGTACGCGCCATTCATTCGACTTCATCAAGCACCATTGATGGTGATTCAATGCACATCTGGCCTTTACAATGACTTGCGATGACGTTTCCATGTATCGAACCAGTGCTGCTATCCTTCCAGACAAGTATGGTACCAATCTGCTGACATTGGGGAGATGGAAGGCTTGATGGGCCTGGAGCGCGTCTCATGTGTATTGCAGAACACCTCCGACCAAACCTTTGACTATAATTGCACTAATTGTGTCTCATTCAATAGAAAATCCCGAAAAGCGTAGCAACCCAGTTAACCAACGAGCTACCTTAATAGGCTCTTTTTTCAAGTACACTGAAAATACCACGGATCTCCCTCATATGAGAGATGTTAAGCCGGTTAGTCGCGAGGCTACGTGGCGGGTCCCTAGGTGGCGGATAGTGGTTAATCACGGACCAAAAGCGACCTTTGCTCCCCTGAGACGAAGGTGGATCCAGGGGATATACTCCCTGTTTCCGCTGTGCTGATTTGACACATACTTTCTGTATTTGCTAGGCGCATTCATGCATGCGTGTTAGTGCGTTCCTGCTTATGTGGATTGTATTCCACGAATCAATTCGGCCAAAAGCCTGCAATCAAATGACTGGGAAGTATATGGGAGGCGGTTAGGAGTCGCCTCCAACTAATGAGCTCCATGTCCACTCTGGGAGAGCTTGGCAAGCTACCCGTGAGTATACCCAACACCCACGTTCAGAGCCCAACGAGCTATACGTGGGTATCAAAATGCTAAACACAGTAAAAAAAACGAGCCTCATTCCCCTGACCCCGAAACAGTCCCAATTTTGCGGCGTTGGGTAGGACTAGTACCGAGAGGCGGCTAAAATCAAAGCGCCAGTCGAAGCTGCCTGAATTACAAAGAACTACGGCGACGATCTGCACCTACAACGCACGTGCACTTGCATCCGAGTACTCGATGGAAGACTTGCACGCCAGCCTTTTTAACGCCGTCTATGATACCAGCGAAGA